ACCAATGACTCTTTCACACTTCTTCAAGCTGCTCGATCGCCAAACAGATCAGGAACCAGCATCAAGGCCCCCTAACAGTGCTATTGGCAATCGGCCTCGAGAGCGAACGACTGTTTGCCACTTCCTTAAGGTGCTCTGTCGAACACCACTAACTCCCGAATCATTCGGTGATCCTGTTCAACTACTATCTGTCAAGGTCCTTCCGGGAAGATAAATGGTGGACACATTTGTTGCAGGGGTACTGACGGGTTGCGGGTTGAACTTGCCAAATGTCGTGCACCAGGCTGGGTGTTCCGCCCGACCACAGTTGACTGGTTCAATCCATCAGCTTGCAAGGTGTCAAGCGTCGGACCCCTGACCTTTTATGGAAAACAGGCACCACATACCCAACACGATGCCCTTTTGAATCGTGTCAGTGGGCAACTGCTAACCTGCGGCAAGCAAATATACACCCTGCATCAAGGTTCCCTTAGAGTGCGTGGCCATCCGCACAGACAACCAACGACTGTTTGACACCTGTTGAAGGTGCTCGGTCACCAAACCGATATCGGCGAATTGATTCACTGTTCAACTAGTATCTGCCAATGCCTTTCCGGGTTAAAGCAAGGATCTCTCTCTCTCTCTCTCTCTCTCTCTCTCTCTCACACACACACACACACACACACACACACACACACACACACACACAACCCGGAATCAGATCTCGCATCAAGATTCCCTAAGAGTGCTAATGACAATCCACACAGACAACCAATGACTCTTTCACACTTCTTCAAGCTGCTCGAGCGCCAAACAGATCAGGAACCAGCATTAAGGCCCCCTAACAGTGCTATTGGCAATCGGCATCGAGAGCGAACGACTGTTTTCCACTTCCTTAAGGTGCTCTGTTGAACACCACTAACTCCCGAATCATTCGGTGACACTGTTCAACTACTATCTGTCAACCAGAGAAGGAGGTCCTTCCGGGAAGATAAATGGTGGACACATTTGTTGCAGGGGTACTGACGGGTTGCAGGTTTAACTTGCCAAATGTCCTGCACCAGGCTAGGTGTTCCGCCCGACCACAGTTGGCAGGTTCAGTCCATCAACTTGCAACGTGTCGGGCGTCGGACCCCTGACCTTTAATGGAAAACAGGCACCACATACCCAACATGATTCCCTTTTTAATTGTGTATTGTCTGTCACGGCAACACTAAGCCAGAACAACATTGTCAAGGTGTCATACAAAGAGCCCCTGCCCTTTTTTACACTATGTTAATTCGCATTTAATAACGACTATTCATGTATGAAGGGCTCAAAACGCCCCGCCAATCGTGTACTGTCTGTCACAGCAACACTAAGCCACGACAACATTGTCAAGGTGTCATACAAAGAGCCCCTGCCCTTTTTTACACTGTGTTAATTCGCATTTAATAACGACTATTCATGTATGAAGGGCTCAAAACGCCCCGCTGCAACATTTGTCATGTCAACACCTCATATACTGACCATTTATCCTCACTTAAAGTGTCGCATGATGCCCTATTGGGCCATGTACTGAGTGTTTATTCGCAGTCGAAATAGTTCACTTTTTAACAAAAAGTTCATTTTTTACAAAATGTGTATTACAACCGGTCAATCGATCATTCAACCAATCAATCTATCTAACAACCGATCAATCGACCATTCAACCAATCAATCGATCAATCAACCTGTCAATCAATCAGCCGATAAATCAACCCGTCGATCTCGACGGACCGTTTCGTTCGAGATACGTCGAGATCGACGGTTGTTGGACGAGATGATGAGTCGAGATCGACGGGTTGGTTGATTGATTAATTGGTTATTGCTTGATTGAATTATTGATCGGTTGTTTGATCGGTTTATTGATTGATTGATTGATTGATTGATTGATTGGGGCGGAGAAGCCGGCGAAGGCGGAGAAGGCGGAGAAGGCGGCGAAGGAGGGGTGGCGGCGGGCGCGGAGGTGGCGGGCGAAGAAGGTAGTTTAGGGTTTTGGGAAGAAGAAGAAGAGAGGAAAAAAGAAGAAGTAGAAGAAGAAGAAGAAGAAGAAGAAGAAGAAGAAGAAGAAGGAGAACGACTAGGAGGAGGAGGGCGGGCGGAGGTGGGCGGTGGCAGAGGCGGGCGGTGGCGGAGGCGGGCGGTAGTGGAGGCGGGCCATGGCGGGCAGTGGCGGAGGTGGACGGTGGCGGAGGCGGGCGATGGCGATGGCGATGGCGATGGCAGAGCCGGGCGATGGGGGAGGCGGACAATGGCTCATGCGGGCGGTAGCGCAGACAGACGGTGCAACGGGTGGAGGCGGGCGGTGGCGGGCAGTGGCGGCGACGAATGCGAATGCGAAGAAGAAGAAGAAGAAGAAGAAGAAGAAGAAGAAGAAAAAGAAGAAGAAGAGGAAGAAGAAGAAGAAGAAGAAGCATACAAACATACCAATTAAGATCTGGCTGGCTTGCTTTGAGAAACCGATCAAACCTCGATTAAAAAGAACAGACTAATTCGGAATTCATGTGTTGTCTCGGCGAAAACCGTCATATAGTCCTACATTAACCGAACCTCGACGGAAACCGTCATAAAGTCCTATATTACCCGAATTTGGCACACACGGACCTTGTCCAGAAATGTTGGACTCCAATGCATTTTCATATGACAAAAAACAGAAAAGACTTTGAAAATTGGTCTCCAATGCATTTTGCAGGGTTGGATGGGTTGAAAAGTGCAGGTCCCTGTTAACCAGACAATCAATGAACCCTGATTGATTGCTTGAGGAAGAAGAAGAAGAATTGGTCTCTAATGTGTTTTCAGATGACCCGGAAAATCACATTGGAAACCTTGACCGCGGACCTTGACCAGAAATATTGGTCTCCAATATGATTTTCGTGGGCGATTCTCCTGAGTCCTTTGGTCCTGAACTCCCCAAACCTGAATGGGAACCAATATATGGTCCTATATTCCCCAAACCGGTTGCTGAATGAGAACCGGCATATGGTCAGACACCGAACTCAGCATACGCAGACACCAAAACCGTCACCGGACACTGAACCTGGCACACACAGACCTTGACCAGATACCGAACTTTGCACACACAGACCTTGACCAGAAATGTTGGTCTCCGATGCATTTTTTAGATCTTGACCCTTCGACTTGAAATGTGCGGGTCCCCCCCCGAACCCACGATAGGCACCTTGAAGGGCTTTCCCTTCGCTTTCGTTGAACCATGACCGCCGCCTTTTGTCACAAAGCGATGAGACGCTTTTGAAGGGCTTCCCCACGGCAATTCATGGCCGTCATGAGAAAGGAAATCACTGAGATAAAGAAGGTATGTAAGCCGCTGGATGCAGCATATGAGCCAAGGATAACATTCATTGTGGTCCTGAAGAGGCATCACACGTGGTTTTTTTATCATGGACGAAATGTCGATCCAGACACTGTTGTGGACTAGGGGATCTGCCATCCTACTGACTTCGACTTTTATGTATGCAGTCACGCTGACATTAAGGGAACAAGCCGGCCAGCACATGACACTGTCCGGCATGATGAAAACCCCCTTGGCTCAGATGCCCTCCAGACTCTGACAAATAATTTGTGCTACACGTATGCGGCCTGCACAAGATCAGTTTCAGTTACTCCGCCAGCCTATTATGCTCATTTGGCATTCTTCAAAGTGAGGTTTTATTTGGGTGACCTTTCAGATGAGAGTTCAGCCTCGGAAGCGGGAGAGGGAGCTGTTGGGAGACAGCGGGTGATTACCCCCTTGCCGGAACTGAGTGATGGTATAAAGAAGGTCATGTTTTATTGGGGCTGCTGTAGTTTGGAGGGAGCTTTTGAAGGGCTTCCCCACGGCAGTTCATGGCTGTCATAAAAAAGGAAATCACTAAGACAAAGGAGGCATGCAAGTCGCTGGATGCAGCATATGAGCTAAGGATAACATTCATTGTGGTCCAGAAGAGGCATCACACGCGACTCTTTGATCATGGACGAAATGTCGATCCAGACACTGTTGTGGACTACGAGATCTGTCATCCTACCGACTTCGACTTTTATTTATGCAGTCACGCTGGCATTAAGGGAACGAACCGACCGGCACATGACACTGTCCGGCATGATGAAAACAACCTTAGCTCAGATGCCCTCCAGACTCTGACAAATAATTTGTGCTACATGTATGAGGCCTGCACAAGATCAGTTTCAGTTGCTCCGCCAGCCTATTATGCTAATTTGACATCCTTCAGAGCGAGGTTTTATCAGGGCGACCTTTCAGATAAGAGTTCAGCCTCAGAAGCGAGAGAGGGAGCTGTTGGGAGACAGCGGGTGATTACCCCCTTGCCGGAATTGAGCAATAGTATAAAGAAGGTGATGTTTTACTGGGGCTGCGAGAGTTTGGAGGGAACTTTTGAAGGGCTTCCCCACGGCAGTTCATGGCTCTCATGAGAAAGGAAATCACTGAGACAAAGGAGGCATGCAAGTCGTTGGATGCAGCATATGAGCCAAGGATAACATTCAGTGTGGTCCAGAAGAGGCATCACACGCGGCTCTTCGATCATGGACGAAATGTCGATCTAGACACTGTTGTGGACTACGGGATCTGCCATCCTACCGACTTCTACTTTTATTTATGTAGTCACGCTGAGATTAAGGGAACGAGTCGGCCGGCATATGACACTGTCCGGCATGATGAAAACAACCTTGGCTCAGATGCCCTCCAAACTCTGACAAATAATTTGTGCTACACATATGCGGCCTGCACAAGATCAGTTTGAGTTGCTCCGCCAGCCTATTATGCTCATTTGGCATCCTTCAGAGCGAGGTTTTATTTGAACGACCTTTCAGATGGGAGTTCAGCCTCGGAAGCGGGAGAGAGAGTTGTTGGGAGATAGTGGATGATTACCCCCTTGCCGAAATTGAGTGATAGTATAAAGAGTTATGTTTTACCGGGGCTTCTGTACTTTGGAGGGAACTTTTGAAGGGCTTCCCCAACCTTTCCCTCTCAGGATGTGACCATCCATTATACCGCCCCCTCTCTCTCTCTCTCTCTCTCTCTCAATCCTTTGATCGTTATGCCTGTTCATGCTGCAGCCCCGAACGATTGCAGTCCTACAATCACTGAGTCAAGTGATCGCACAGCCGAGTGATTCTTGTTGTTGGAGGTCTACCATTGGATTCCAAGTCTGGTGATTCCTGCTGATCGCACAACCATGAAAGATTATAGTCCTATAATCACTTAGCCGAGTGATTCCTGCTGTTGGAGTCTTGTTGTTGGAGTCTAAGTCTGGTCAGTCACGAGTGTCGTAGTTGTTCTCGTCTTTTGATCGTTCTGCCTGTTCGCGCTGCAGCGCAGAATAATTATAGTCCTATAATCACTGAGCCGAGTGATCGCACAACACTGTTTCTGCAGATTCCTGCTGTTGGATTCCTGGAGTTGGAGTCCAAGTCTGGCGTGTGCTACAGCCCTGAACGATTATAGGCCTATAATCAATGAGGCGGATGATCCCACTGTACTGTTTCTGTTGGGTGCTGCTGTTGGAGTCCAAGTCTGGTCAGTCACGAGTGTCACAGTTGTTGTATTCTTTTGATCGTTCTGCCTGTTCGCGCTGCAACGCTGAACGAATATAGTCCTACAATCACTAAGTCGAGTGTTTGCACAGTACTGTTTCTCCTAATTTCCGTTGTTGGAATCCAAGTCTGGTGAGCGTTGCAGCCCTGAACGATTATAGTCCCATAATCACCGAGGCGGGTGATCGATGAGCGGAGTGGTCGACAACACTGTTTCTGCTAATTCCTAAAGTTGGAGTCCTGCTGCTGGAGTCCTGCTGATTTCTGCTGAACGGTTATACTCCTGTAGTCAATGAGCCGAGTGATCGCACAATACTGTTTCTGCTAATTCCTGCTGTTGGAGTCCAAGTTTGGTGAGCGCTGCAGCCCTAAACGATTATAGTCCCATAATCACCAAGGCGGGTGACCGCACAACGATTATAGTCCAAGTCTGGTGAGCGCTGCAACCCTGAATGATTATAGTCCCGTAATCACTGAGTCGAGTGATCGCACAGTACTGTTTCTGCTGACTCCCGCTGCCGGAGTCCTGCTGTTAGAATCCTGCTGCTGGAGTCCTGCTGATTTCTGCTGAACGGTTTTACTCCTATAGTCACTGAGCCGAGTGATCACACAACACTGTTTCTGTTGATTCCTGTTGTTGGAGTCCTGCAGTTGGAGTCCAAGTCTGGCGTGTGCTGCAGCTCTGAACGATTGTAGTCCTATAATCACTGAGCCGAGTGATCGCACAGTACTGTTTCTGCCAGTTCCTGTTGTTGGAGTCCAAGTCTGGTGAGTGTTGCAGCCCTGAACGATTATAGTCCTATAATCGCTGAGGCGGGGGATCCCACAGTGCCGTTTCTGCGGGGTGTTGATGTTGGAGTCCAAGCCTGGTCAGTCGCGAGCATCGTAGTTGTTTCAAGCTTTTGATCGTTCTGCCTGTTCGTGCTGTAGCCTAGAACGATTTTAGTCCTATCATCACTAAGTCGAGTGATCACACAGTACTGTTTCTGCCGATTCCTGGTGTTGGAGTCTAAGTTTGGTGAGTGCTGCAGCCCTGAACGATTATAGTCCTGTAATCATTGAGGCGTGTCCTGAGATAGCCAAAACGGTTGTTGTTTTGTTCGTGCAGGTTTTTGTGGAAGAGCTCGGGGATTACTTAGCTCCACGAGTTAAGAGCAGGCTTCGTCCGTTCAGGTACCCGAGCGTTGCGACAACATCGACCCCCGGACCGTCGAAAACGAAGGGAGACAAGGAGAAAATGCGTCCGCCAGGTGTGGTTTCCCCACAAATATGTGTCAACTCCTTAGCATCTCTCGAGAAAGGTTTGGGTACGAAGCCAAAACGTGAGAAGAAGAAAGCGTTTGCAACGAAACCTGTGGCGCCTTCGAAAGATAAAGGTAAAGCTCCGCAAGAGGAGCTTGAAGTTCCTCGAGGTCTCGTGCCCGGCGAACTCACAGACGAGCTGAAACGTGTCTGGAATGAGCTGGAGAATTTGAAGGAGAAGAAAATCTCCCAAGAGCCTTTCTACCTGCCTATGTCGTGTCTCTGACGACCGCCGGAGGATGGAACGGGAAATAGGCCGCTCGAAATTCGGGAGGCCGAACAAAACCACGTTTCCACAATCATGGATTCGATTATTACTTGCCCGACCGGAGACCATCTTCCCTTCGTTGGTGTCGTGGATCCATCACAGGTGAAACATAAGAAAAATGTGGATTTGGCCCGTTTGCGGAATGGTGACTACACCATTTATGTTCTTGGAGGTGGACATTGTCGGGAGGCGAGGGAACGCCTGCGGAAGATCTACCCTGACAAAGAGGATTACAACTGGAATGTGTGCTATGTTTATGCGGGCTTGACGACGGAAGAAGCAAGGCAGGTGGGTCACAAGCACAATTTGGCAGCTGGGTACCACAGAGATATGAACTTCATCGAGAAGATGAAATGTTGGCGTCACATCTTCGAGAGAATGGGTTCTGTGAAGAACGCCGAAGTCAAGTTGGCCTGCCTGCGGGAGTTTGGTATACCTGTTTCTGCCAAGAAGATGCAGACTAATGACCTGTTGTTGCAGATCGCTATGCGTCCTAAAGAGATCTGGGACCCGCAACTGTGAATTTTTGAGATGTGGCAGAAAGGAGAGGTCAAGAATCAGAAGCTCAAGCGGCTGGCGAAAAGTCAGATTCACACCGACGTCGCTCCAGAGTCTAGCGAGTCGGAAGGTGGGAAGAAAAAGCGCGGTGTGAGAAAGCTGGATAGGGCGGTTGCGAAACATCAAGAGATGACGTTCTTCAATCCTCGCCTGAAATTAAAGGACAACAAAGTTGCTTTGGCACTGACTGACACGCCTGCTCAGCCTTGGATTACGATGGGCAATATCCCGCAAGAGGCTAACATCCCCATCTTGACAGAAGTTGTGTCTAAGCAGATCTCCCTGCATAAGATGGAGAGGAAGTTCAGGGTCGTGAAGAAGTTTAGCTACGTTGCAAAGGCCTTTTGCGATGGTGTGAAGTGCAAAGACTTCGAACCCACAGAGGAGTTGTATCCTTTGCACACCAAAAAGGAGGTTCTCGAGCCGTTCATCGGAAGTTTTGAGAGGCGAGGGGCGAAACCCACTGCTTTGCTAAATCATATTGAACAAGCTAAGGAGTGGAGGAAGATGGAGGACAGGAGGATTAGAGATGCGCAAAGAGCGAGTCGCGATTTCTTCCAAGCGCATTCTTTGGAAAACCCTTTCGTGGACTCGACTGAGTTGAAGTATGAAGGGTGCGGGGGCCAGGTAAAGGTTATTCAAGGCGATAGGTTGCATTTGGCACAACTGAAGAAGGACAAGGTGTCGATTTCTCTTTCTATCTTCGATTTTCCCTACGGCTTTGTGCACAAAGGTCACGCACGTGACACGGAGCCGTTCCCGGAGAGTGACATTGTCGACGTGCTGCAGAATATCAAGGAGGTTACGAGCGCATCGCTTTGGACAGTCGCTGCTTTCTGTTCTATGGACATGTTATCCTCGGTGAGGTCCGCGTTCGCAAAGATCTGCAATGCTGGTCAAGAGCTTGTTACGTGTTGCAAGCCGAACACGACAAATCTCGGTGGCCCTATACTTGTCAGCGCGACAGAGTTCTGCGTTCTGGGGTACTACAATGTAACGGGCCAGCGTGAGATGACGCATTACAACTTCGCTCCCACCGATCCCCGTCACAACTTTCAAGTTTTTGATGCGGTCACGCGGAAGTTCGTGTATCCAGGTGATAACAAGGTGCTTTGTTCGTACCAGACACCTTATGCTTTGTATTCCTAGTTGGTCAAGAAGTTCTCTCCACCAGGCGCCACCGTTTTGGACGGGTTTTCGGGCTCGGGTACAGGGGTCATTGCTTGCATAATGGCCAACAGGAACTGTCTTGTCGTGGAGTTGGACAAACGGTGTGCAAAGGGAATCCGCATGAGGCTACTCACTGACCTCGAAGGGACATTGAAGAGAGAAAAGCCAAAACAGGGGAAGGGCAAATCGAAGGAGCAGCACCATGATGCAGACATTGAGGTATCTGGGGATCACGGCCTCGCGGAAGAAGAGCAACATGTTGAGGAAGGCACGACCAGGGAGGCTTCCGGCCAAGAGATGACGCATGAGACCCGGGAGCCGTTGTCGGGATTGATTGCAACCAAAGCCGAACTGCCGGCAGGATCTGGCCAGCGTCAGGAACCGCCCGTGGCAGTACCTGCAGAGGAGCAGCTGGGTGGAAATATCCCACCGGCCGAGGCATGTGCACACTTGACATTTTGAAATTCCCCTGGTCACTGGTTTGCTCGTTGGCTGTTGTCTATTGGTATTAGATTCACTGTTGCGCTGGTGTTGTTGTCGTTGCTTGTTAAAGTCCTATATCGCTGCTCAGATTTTTGCTCCCGCTGTGAAAGAGTTCTAAATCTGAGACCGAGGACTGTGCGCACTTTTGTTTCGTTTTGAGTCCTAGATCCACTGTAATATCTTTTCTTCACCCTCCACCTCCGTCTGCCATAGCCGATCCGCGCTTCGTAGCTCGATTACCTTCCGCAATAGTTGAACCAATATCATGCACACTATAAAGTTGCCATGATATTGTTTGTATAAAGGTGATGGATTCCCTTCGCAGCTTATAGTCGTCAGTGCCTATGGTGAACCCCGAATCAATACCCAGTTTTTGATGAACACCGAATCAATTCCCGGTTCTCGCTCACTTGTCCCTTTGCGGGGTCGTCAACCTGACACACACACACACACACACACACACATATATATATATATATGTATATATATATATATATATATGTATATATATATATATATACCGTCGCAAACAGAATTGCCCGGTAAACCGTAAGCAGAGAGAGAGAAAAGGACAACAAACGAGGGGTTGTGACAAACTATTTTGTCGGAGTTTCACCGACTCATTAGGAGGCTGAACCCTCAACCATCAGCAGAATCCCCTCACTGATTACACTGTAAATGATAATCTACCTTAACCAACACCAGATGAAAAACTCTACAGACTGTCGGTCCACACCCCATCACAAGCCAGCAAAACATCCACGAAACAAAGAAAGGTCTGTCACAGCCAAAAAATACACTCCAGACACGCCGCTGGCACTAGAGGCACAGCATGGCCGCCTAGTAACGACCCCGACCACTGCCGCTTGACCTGACCGGAAAAAACCGTAGAAGGAAGCTAGCGAAGTCGTAGCATATATCGTCACAAACAGAACTGCCCGGTAAACCGTAGGCAGAGAGAGAGAAGAGGACAACAAACGAGGGGCTGTGATAAACTGTTTCCTTAGAGTTTCACCGACTCATATATGTATATCTATAGGTACTCGTCCGTGCCGCTTCTAGAAGACCGAATTAACTCGCAGTTTTTTTTCATCCATCCCAGCGAGGTCGGAACTGATCCGCAACTGCGAGTTAGTTCACAGTTTGCGACCCATACTGCTGGAGGAGTCACAACTGCGAGTTAATTCGCATTTTCCCCAAGATAAGACGCCTGTTTCTTGAAAGTCAGTTCTTTATTTCCACAACTGCGAGTTAGTTCGCACTTTATGACCTTCAGTGTTGGAGGAGTTGTTGCCCTCCGTATCCAGAACTCGGAGTTAGTTCGCACTTGTAGATACCCATGTCGTACGTGTTTCAGGTTTTCATTTCGACAACTCCGAGTTAGTTCGCACTTTCCCCAAGAGAAGTCGCCTTTGTCTTAAACGTGACTTTCTCGTTTCCAGAACTGCGAGTTGGAGGAGTTGTCATCTTTCCTCCGAACTCACACTGGCAGAGGAGTGTTGTCTTTCCTCTCCTTTACCGAATTATTGTGACTTCGTGTGTGTTTCGATCACCCATCTCGTACGTCGTTTTGTCTTGTCTCCAGAACTGCGAGTTGGTTCTCACTTGTCGATACCCATGTGGTACTTGTTGTAGAGGTTTTCATAACCAGAACTTCGAGTTAGTTCGCACTTTCGTGAAGATAAACCGCCTCTTTCTCGTTTATAGGACAGCGAGTTGGTTCGCACTCTTTCCGATGAGTTGTTATCATTCCTCCGAACTCACTCTGCCAGAGGAGTGTTGTCTTTCCTCTCATTTACCCAATTGTTGTGATTTCGTGTGCATTTCAAACACCCATCTCTTACGTCGTTTTGGTCCTCCATTTCGTCAACTCCAAGTTAGTTCGCACTTTGCTTCTGTACTCTTAGGAAAACCTCGTGGTTTTCCTCCCGGTCATCCGATTTGGTCTAGGGTTGGGCGTATTAGTCTAGGGTTGGGCGTATTAGTCTAGGGTTGGGCGTAAAATGGCGTCCGCGAAGAACACATCTACAAGCGCGGGGGTGTCTGCCCCCGGGGAGGGAGGACCTCTTCAACAATCTACTCCTCCGTATTTCCATACGAGAGATGCACAATGGTTTTTGGACTTCGTTGTTGAGGGGAACCGTGTCGGGCCAGCTATTTTCATGCGACCCACTTGCTTTCCAGACGCCAAGGGAGCAGTCGACGTTCTTCCTCTCGATATTATCGTCTCGTTCGGGAAACAGACTGGAGGCTTGCTCAAGCTACGCACTAACATCTTCTACGACCAATGCAGACTTCCTTACAAAGGTGTTAAGGGTGTGATAGTGTTGATCAAGAGTTTCGTGGGGTACGACTCGAACATGCTACTTTGCCGTCACTTCAAAGGGCTTTACGATGGCAACAGCAGGCGTCTTCCACCGCCAATGGAATATCTCGATCTCGCGCTAAAGGTGGCGAAAGACGTCCGGTTCTTCCGCGAGAACATGTTTTTCGGCTCTTGCCAGCCTATGAGGGGTCGTCCAGCTTGGCTCAAGAAACCCCTGTTACGCCAGTGGGGCACGGGAGTGTGATTCACGGCGCTGGGGGTCAGGGCAAGGGGCACGCTCGCAGCATTTAGATGGAGTTCGGCCCGGAGGCTCCTGGAAACACGTCTGGCTAGCATTCTCCATATGCAGGGACTTACCAGGTCGGTACTCCGAAAACCCTCAAGGTCGTCTGCCAGGGCGATACGTACTCGATTCGAGATGAAAAGAGAAGATAATCAGGCAGATCAGGGCAAGAGGTTGGAGGGAATGGGCCTCAAGGGCTGGGCATTGTGCGCGACGGCTCTGGAGGAGAGCCGACTTCTTCGGAGAAGAAGCGGGAGCGACAGAAGACGGTACGAGAAGAGGTGGCGGAAGAAACACGAGACGCATGAAGAGGATGAAAGGACACTCGGAGCCGATGATTGGCGGGGATGAAGGTAACGTCGGAGAACGTGCCTCGGGAGAAATGACGCCAGGGATGCGTGGCGGACAAGAACAAGGAGTGAAAAAGAGGCAGTCGAAGGAAGAGGGTGCAACAACAACTAAGAAAGCAAGGAGGCCCGGCGGTATGACCATCCGCGAAGGACAAGCTATGGGTGAAGGAGATTCGGCTCGTCTAGGCATTGCCGCCGCGAGAGAACCTTCAGAGAAATCCAAAAGGAAACTGGCAGCTAAAGAAGGCGATGGCCAGAAGAAACCTCGGAGGAGGAAGACTGTTGAGGGGACGACTGGTGGCGAAAGGGCGGTCGGCAGGCAGTACGACGAAGCGGCAGCGTTTTGGCTCGAATACGAGCGGAACGATGACGGTGAGATCATGGAGAATGAGCTCCCCATTCAACTGCTCATCGACCCCAGGAGGGTCTGCGACATCCCGCCGTGGGAAAGATATTACAATCACCGCAGTCTCACTCTCGATGGTGTGGAGGACATCAAGGGTGCGATGGTGAGGCAGTTCCACGAGGAAAAGGGGAAGATCTGGACGAAAAACTCTTTGGTTCTGGCTCCCATCTATAAGCCAGTGACGCATAAACCGGAGAGAGCTGAGAGGGTTCACAAGGATGTCTTCAAGCCAGAGGACAAGGACAAGTACTTCTATTACCCTGTTAACGGACAACACACCGTGGCTGCTGTGAAGGAGTTGGCCGATAAGGCGATATCCGAATTGTGGAAGATGCACTCGTGGCCGGCGAGAGTCGTGTGGTTCTCCGACGAAGACTTTGAGGGGTATTTGCAGGTCAGTCTGACGGAGAACACAAGACACAAGATGTTTGAGCAGCGTGCACAGAAGGCTGCTTTCGAGGAAATGCAGAAGGTATGGGAAAATCAAGGAAGGCCGGTGGCCATTCAAGGGAACATTTCCGGTAAGGAGGCCGAAAAATAAGCGTTTTTCGAATTTCAAAAACTGCTTTTGGGAAAGAGTCCGAATGGGGATCACTGGACGATGGCACGTAAAGCGACAACGCTCGTCGACAAGGAACACGTTGCTGCCATTGGCAATGCATTGAGGCAATGGATGCCGCTCGTGACGACCGGTGATGACGTTTTCCGCAAAGGCATGGAGTTCTACGACAAATGGGCCGAGAGAAAGTTGTTGGGAGGAGACGGGAAGACGCCCTTGTCGAAGGCCGGCAAATACATGCCAGACAAATCTCCGGGTTTTCAAGCGATTCTGGAAACGGGCTCCAAAGGAGCGGCTGGTGAAACGAAGATGGGGTGGCTGGTCCAGGTCCCGCCGCCTCCGACCAAAAAGAAAACACAAGCGGACGGCAAGTTCGTCGTCGTCATGAAAGAGCTAGACATGTTTTATTGGCAGTGTGTCGCTAACATGACCGATGTCGAAAAACTGTCGATCCTCGACGACATTCTCGCGCTGAAGGGAGTGTTTGTGCAATCGGCGAGCGGGAATCTGAAACTTCAACAAAAGCCTTGAATTAAAGACATGGTCGCGATGAGGAAAGTTGACTGCATGATGCTCCGCATGTTTCACTACATCCTGTTCCTTGAATCGGAGGAGGACGCAGAGGTTTGGCGCTGCGAGAGCCCTTTTTTTCGGACCGAGGGGTAGCTTCTGGCGGAGTTCGGGCCGCAGGGCCTCACGACGCAGGTGTGGGTCGAACTGCGGAAGCATTTCCAAGGCGCGGTGGAGTACGTGAACACTTGCAAACGTACTTTTTCGTACGGGAAGGAGTCCCTCGACGAAACAAAGAGAATGTACGATGATGACAGGTTCCCTAAATCTTTCGAGAAGTCTGTCCGTTCCATCTTGCGACGAACGGAGGAAGAAGTCCAAGACACGATCAAGGTCAGCGGGGATGTGAGGCACATCAAATGGCACAAGCTCAACCGGGTGACCAGCCTTATTCCTTTCGGTTGTCCACCTTCCCGAGCTCACAGTCGTCTCACTGAGATCCGCGAGATTGTGCGACATCACGTATGCAACTTGTACGTCCTCGATTTGTTTGATCCCACACTCCTCTCAGACTGGCATGAAGATGATTTCGCGTCCTTGCAAGGCGTTCTCCAAACCCTGTCGCCAAGGCACTGGGCACTTGTCGGCTTCTTCCCTTCTCGTTGGGAGCTCTGTTTGTTGAAAGGCATGACCAATCTTAGCGTTCATCACGTTAGGACAGGGAAGTGGGTGCGCCATGCACAAAGGAAGGCCATTGTTCGGGAATGCAACATGCTGGTCGAGGAGTATGATCGTCTGTACGTGATTTGCAATGGCGAGAACCTGGCAGACAACACGGTCGCAGTCTTCCCAGCCAGTAGTCCATCGAAGCCTCCCCGTGCCAATGCTCCAAGCCCGGCCAAACCCACGGCGGCGGCCCGCTCGAAAGCTGCGTGTTCATCCTACCCGTCAGGACAGGCTGTGGCCTGTTTCGACGTGGCAGATGAGGACAAGTTCCCTTGTAGTCAGTGGGAGGACGACGGCATGACAAGTGTTCGAGGAGCTACTTACAGAAACAAGGAGCGCAACCCAACTCATTTAATTGGTCTGCTCGAGAACTTTTGCAGAGTTGGGCAAACTGTTTTTTTCTTCGGGAAGGCGGACACGTCTGTAGTGTGGGAGCTCCTCCGCAGCGGTCGGAACGTCGTTGCGTTAGAGGACACGGCGAACATGATCGATTACCTTTGCGAGTTTGTTAAGACACGTGTGGGGGACCCTCGCCACCAATGCTCTTTTGTCCAGACCACCGGCGAACGGAACTGGGATCCCAAACGTGATATGTATTGGAAATTGTCGGAGAAGAAAAGGACAGAGGTTTGGGAGTTCCTTTTCCAGCAAGGACCGCCTGCTCATACCGATCCGGAATACAACCGACGGATAAACCTGGTGTTCGGTGTGCTGAATGGTTACCACAATGCGCCCAGGGAGTTTGTCTCAAATTTCCTCAAAAGGCTGGAGCACGTATTCTTTTTGATGGCCGAACCGCTGACCCTCGAAAACTACAAGGCGCAGTTCAACGAGGAGGACCCTTTCGATGCTGAGGACATGGAGGAGATGAGCGACTCTGAAACCTTCGATTTCGAGTCCATGCACTTCCCTGGGCGGTTGCACAGGTTGGTGATGAAGGGGAAGGTGTTCCTCGGAGATATAGCACGTCCCCTGCCGGTTTGAAGCGTGTGTTTGAGCGCGAAACAGTCGAGGAAGGACTATGATTACGAACCTGGTGACAAGCTCCCTAGGGACCATGATACCTGGGAGAATGGCAGGCTCTTCTTCTACAGGAAGCATCACCGGTTCACGCCGGAGGATGTCTGGGGCCACAACGTCGTCTGGCACCCCAGGAAATTCCAACCTGCTGTAAAGACTAGAAAGTGGGTCATGGCAATGAAGGAAGCCGATGGCGAGTGGAGTGGCATGAACAGACTGGGAGCGGGTCCATTTAAGAAAAGGGCGAGAGAAGCTCTGGTAGAGCATTTGAGGGTTATGAACCCCGACAGTAGCCTGTCGGTCGTCAATGCGTATGCAGGCCAAAAGCTAGATGAGTTGTACGCCAACAAAATGTTGGAGTTTCGAGCGTCTTTCTATGCACTGGAGACGGCACCGTCCCGTGGCATTGACTGGCGCATGCTGCAACCTTCGTCGGGTGGTCAGCATCCGGGAGGCGGTGGAGGAGGAGACGAAGGATACGGTGGACGTGACAGAGGAGACGACTTGAGATCTCATGGAGGAGGTGAGGGAGGAGACGACTCACGATCTGCCGAAAAGGGGTCAGATCGGGAAGGGGTCGGGGGGAAAGGGGTCGGGTGGAAAGGGTCGGGTGGAAAGGGGTCGGGTGGAAGGGGGTCGGGCGGGAAGGGGTCGGGCGGAAAGGGGTCGGGCGGAAAGCGTAGAGCGTCCGGGAGTCGCGACTCTAGGGAAACTGATAGCCACTGCGTAGGGAGTCGAGATTCTGACATGCGAGACGAGGCCGCCCTGAAGTCTTATCAACTACGCGTAGATTCTCACTTGTCTGCGAGGACTTTGTTTCCCGATGTCGAGGAGAGTCCGTCCCACCGTGCGCAGCCGACGTCTCCTGTGCACAACACCTTGCTTTTGCCCCTCTTGGAAGAGGGCAAACGTCTGCAGCATACGACAGCATCTCCTGAGCGGCAAAACCATTCCTTGGCAGGAACTGCGTCTTCGCTTTGCCTGGAGGCCGGGATGCCTGCATTGCGAAGGAGCGAAAGTACGACCGTCAGCTCCCTCAGCTCTGGCGACCTCCGCAAACTTCGAATAGATTTGGAGTTTCCGACGTTGCCCTGCGGGCCTTCCGCCAGCAGTGCTCACCGCAAAGTCCGAATACATTCGAAGTTACTAACGTCGCCCTGCAGGCCTTCCACCGGCAGTGCTCCTCACACTACAGTTCCGCGGGGCCAAGAAAATGTGAGGTCCAACCCCCCACATCTTCAGTTGGGCACAGTGTTCCCCTTCTGACCGCCGTTCTCATATGTTGAGACTCAAGACTGGCAGTCGTGCAAAGTGCTGGAGGGGCCCGCTGAAGGAGTGTTGGAGACCGGGCATAGCGAGTATGAACGTCATGCTTCGAGGGGTGTATACGTCGACTCTGAGACCAAGAGCACAACAACTCCTGGGGAAGAGGAGCTCTGACCGGGAGTGCATGCTGTACAGCGGGAAAGAGGAGACTCAACACTGGCAGTCTCGCGGAGTGTTAGAGACCGGGGCTAGCGAGAATGAATGTCAAGCCTTGGAGGGTGCGTCCGTCGACTCGGAGAGCAAGAGTACATCAGCTCCGGGCGAAGAGGAGCTCTCACAAGAAGCACATGCGCTGCAGCGGGAAGAGGAGACTCAATACTGGCCGGCTCCCGAAGTGTTGAAGGGGCTCGACGCAGGAGTGCTGGTGACCGGGACGTCCGAAGAGGTTCTGCACAATCGGTCGGTTGTGGCAACGACGCAAGACGGTGACGTTAAGGGAGGTCAATGGACGTTTGAGGAAGGCAATGACCGTGGGGAGGAAGGACGTTCGTGAACATTCGTGGAAGCTCGGCTTCTTGGCGATGAGGAAGGCGAAGAAGAACCCCTGGTGGAAGCTCGAGTTCATAACGATGAGAAAGGTGAAGAACCCGTGGTGGAAGGCGGTGAGGTGGAGGTCGGCATCCAGATGGATCCAGAGCGGAAAGATCATGATTCTCCGTCCACCCGTTGCGGTAAAGAAGAAGGTGATCGAGCGTCTGTCCTCAGTACCGGTCGGGAAATGGTACTTCACGAAGCCATCGAGTTGGGTAGCGACTCAGCTGCCACCGAGCTGGTTAACGACTCAGTCATGGCCGAGGTGCAGAACGTCGAATCCTCCGTCGACGTTGGCACAGTGGCGCAACAGGAGGGCGATTTACCTCGAAGGACTCCCGAGCACGGTAAGATTTGTGAAGAGTAGCACTCGCATATCTGTCACTATTCAACTCTGTGTTCATCCAAATTCATGTGATGGGCTCATGTAGCTATTACCACTTGTTAAAAAAAAATTTGTGGGTTGTGGGTTGTTTTCTATGTTTTACAGGTGTGAGGTTGTCAATGTCCCTGCCCATGAAGCCTTCAAAAGCCATGCGCRGGAAATGTTTTTCAGGGAGGTCGTTGGCCGCTTTACCGAAGAAGTCGTCGTCAAGTGTAGGGTTGCTTAAAAGGATCCAGATGCCTCATCTTTCCCAAAGAGTTGTCAGAGTTTTGAAGGCTTGTGGAATAGATAAGGAGGAAGCTTTGCAGAAACATGTGGTTGCGTCTATTGAAAGCGTTACTGCTTTGTCTGATGGATCCGATGACGATGCCAAACGGGTGTCTCCAAAGACCCATATCCTAAGTACATCGCCAAGGACACATTCAACAGTCGGGGATATAACTTTCCCGAAAAAAGGGCACACACTTCTTAGCCAATTCGCCTCGGTGATTTTGGTCGCTCCTCGCACTTGTTCGTGGGTGTTTGTGGAGCTGGGGCTACATCATCTTTTTGCGTGTCCTTGCCTACTGAGGAGCTTAGCGCTACAGAGTTGAGAATGTTGCAGGACGTTTGCGGGGATTTCAACAACTGCCACGAGGTGATTTCCTCGATTCGCAAAGGGGCCAGTTCTACTCTGTTGAGCAGAAAAAATCTTCGGACTCTTGTCCAGGGGGGGATGGCTTTCCAAAGAGGTGGTGGAGTCGTACTTGGCCTTGCTTGGCAACGCTACATTGTCTGGGTGTCCCTCTGTTTACATTTTCAGTCCGTTTTTCTATACCAAGCTCGTCGGTGGCGGATGTTCACATGACAGGGTTGCGACATGGACAAAAAATGTGAATATTTTCTCGTACGACATGTTATTGATTCCTGTTCATAAAAATTGAGTGCATTGGACCCTGTTATGTATCCGCGAAGGACGCCTGGAGTACTACAACTCCCTCCTGCAAGACGATGGCGATTTTTCTTCCGATGTGCTTGCGAACTTCACGAAATACCTCCGTAACGAAGCAGTTAGTCAATATGGTCAAAACGCGAAACTGGATCTCCTAGCGTCTGAGGTGGTTGTTCATGGTGTCCCTCAACAGTCGGACGGGTCGAGCTGCGGTGTTTTCATGCTCGCCTTCGCTTCTTTTCTTGCACGCGGCCATCTGCCACCATTTCTAATAGCCCAAAACGACATTCCAAACATCAGGCTGAGGATTGCAATTGAGATACTCCAAGGCTCAAAATAATGTCCATATTTTGAAAATATACGAAGTTTTTTATTCGCAATGCCATAAGCAGAAGTGCGAATCTATTCCCACTTAGTCTAGCAGTCGGTCAATTCGAGTTGTGTTGTTATTTTGATGAGGTAGCGGATTGTAGTGGACGTTTTGATCAAGTAAACGCTTAAATGTCAATGTGAATATCCCAGCCTTGTCCTGTAGTATTTTTTTAAGGGTTCTTCATTTCGAGGAACCTATCAACTTTACTCGTCGGACTTTCGGCAGCACCGTGCTGCCTTTGATTGTTTTCAGGTTATTCTCATTCCTTGCCAAGCGACATCAGCTAGAGGGTTGCAACGGACGCTTAGGTGACGTAGAAACTTAGATGTCGATGTTAATAGAGCCATGTGGTGCAGTAGCTTTTAAGTAAACGCTTAGATATCGGATGTGAATATCCCAGTTTTGTTTTCGGGTTGTTCCCCTTATGTCCTCTACGACTGCGGCAGCGTCGTGCTGCTTTTATTCGTTTTCAGGTTGTGCTCCTGTGTTACTCATGAGACATCTTTGTCCTCTTATGGACATTCTTTACACTTGTGATCGTAAGACTCGATACTCTAGTTCATTTAGCAAGATGTTGGTGAAACATATCAATGATTTATTCTTGGTCGCCAGATTGTTTCGTGCTTATTTTTTTCTTACGTGAGACTTTATGGTGTGAAAACCCCCCTCCCCCCCCTCCACCGCGACCGCCCAACTTAGTTTCACATATTTTGGCTCGCCCCTGTTCTGCGCCTATCGCCCCGTTTTACGGTTCACCCCCTCTGCTGTGCTCTCCTCATCGCAACCACTATCCTTCTTGTCTCCACTGAATGTTGACTGTTGGTTCCATATGACAATGACGAACTTATTCTCAATCCGGAAACCAATTATCGCCAAGAATGTATGTGTGTTTGAAGTTGTTTTACGGACTCCAAAGAATTCAGCGGTGCACTAAATGATTACCAATTTTTTTATCGCTAGAATACATCTCGCACTCTCCACTGAATGCTGATTGTTGTTTCTGTATGACAAATGCGAACATATTCGCACTTTGGATGCCATACATTTGTGATAAGACCGTTTATGTCTGCAAATTTGCCAAAATGATTACCTTTTGTGTTGTTAACAAAAATTTGTTCATAACTGCAAGTTCAACAAATTGATCATCAAATCTGCTATCGCCAGAATGTATGTGTGCTTAACCCATGTGCTTCGATGTTGTTTGTTGCTAAAGGATCGATATGAGGCGTTCGCCAAAATGGATGATTAGCCAGATTTGTTACCTTATGTGTTGTCACTGGAAGACTGATCATTTATGCAAGTTCGCAAAAAATGATATTTTATTTAAAGACCTTCTGTCTTATCGACAAAATGGATAAATCGCGAAAAAAAATTATCATTTGAGTCATGTCTTGTCGAATGTGAAATTGACTCCTCCATCTTGGCAAGGTCGACATACCACAAGTGCTTCCTTCAAATTTTTGATATTATTTCCTGGAACGATCACGAGCAAATCCACGAAGCCTAAAATTTTTGAAATTTTCTGTGAGTTGTTATAAGCGCGTTGCCGCTGTCAAATTGCGAGACTAGGCCCGACTTCCCAACAACTGCGATTGAGCATCGAAGACTTCCCAACAACTACTAACATGCGGGACCTGAAGTTCAATTCTGTTTGTGGAGTGCAAAACTCTGCTCGAAACAGATCCAGGTCCAACAGGAAGGCCAACAACAGACCCACCAAACTAGCCTGGTGGCGGACTTCAGCTTCAAAGACTGCCCAAACACTGATAACCTGCGGGAAACAAATCCACACCCATCATTAACGTTCCCTAAGAGTGCTAATGGCAATCCACGCAGACAACCAACGACTGTTTGACACTTCTTGAAGGTGCTCAATGAACAAACAGATCACGACATAACTTCAACCTGGCATCAAGGTTCCCTGAGAGTGCTATTGGCAATCTGCATAGAGAGCCAATGACTGTTTGGCATTTCCTTAAGGTGCTCAGTTGAACACCGATAACTGCAAATTGATTCGCTGTTCAACTAGTCTTTGTCAATGCCTTTCCGGGTTACAGTAACGAGCCCGGACCCTCTCTCTCTCTCTCTCTCTCTCTCTCTCTCTCTCTCTCTCTCTCTCTCTCCCCCGGACCCTCTCTCTCTCTCTTTCTTTCTCTCTCTCTCTCTCTCTCTCTCTCTCTCTCTCCCCCCCCCCACGTGTTTCCGCCTCCGGTCGTCGCCATCCCTAAAAACTTGTCGGAACTCACAGGGGGGGTTATTTCCTGTTGTCGGAGAGAGTGGTGGTTTGAAGCACCTCCTCACCTTTTCTGACACCTCACTGTGCAAAAGGATGATTGTGAATTAATTCGTAGTTTAAGATTCCTTCCTCTACCTTAACTGAAAGGGATTTTATGACTCGCTTGGAACGCCTCCTCACCTCTTACGACTACCGCTTCTAAATTCAGAAGCAACCTTTGTCGCATCTTCTCAATAACGGTGACGTTACCTTCACATCCATTATCGAGCCATCAAAGCATCAGTAGACGTGGTCGCTTTTAGTCTTTTGCGATTTTCGACGTCTTAACATATCGGTAAAAGGGGTGCACGACACCTTAACGTATCGCTATAAGGGTTGCAAAAACTTTTAATGTGCAGTCGTCGTCATCGCTATTGCGATTCCCGATGCCCAAACCTTTTTGCTAAAACGGGTCGACAACGGGTATGCCATGGGTAAGCGAATCCAGTTGCAATCTCATATAATGCGGTGATGGCTGTTAATAACCGTTGGCGCCTTTAGCATGAGTTTTCATTCAATTTTATGTTGCGTTAGATGTTGGACCTTGAAAATATGTGACACCTTACCCCTGCGCATTGATTTCATTTCGCGCTCAACTGCCGTATTGACGGATAAGGATACATCAAAATTGCTAAGATTCACATCTGCGTGAGTGGGAACTGTACGATGCATCACATTTGGCGCAGTGCGGGCAAGGTCCTAAGAGACTTTTATAAGGAATTTTTCCGAGTTTGGAATTGCGTCCTCCTTCAACTTTGCTGACAGTCATTATTATCCCGCTTACAGCGCCTCCTGACCTCTTGCAATGACTCTATGTGTGGCATTTCTATCCCGCTTACAACCCCTACTCACCTCTTCCAACGACTAAGTGTGCGAAAACATTTGGGAATTAATTTGTAGTTTAAGATTTTATCCTCTACCTTTGCTCGCTGAAATTAATGACCTGCTTAGAGTGTCCAATTTTTGGGGTCTGTGACGTTGTCGAGCGCATCGGTCCGCCACCGCACGAAGCAGCACGGGACCCTCCCGACCGTGTCACGCAGTAGTTGGTCTTAATTCTCGTCACGAATACATAT